TAGGGGAGGCGCCGTCGGGGGCCTAGCTGACGGCCGGGAACGGCGGCGGGAGGCCCAGGACCCACAGGGCCGGAGGGTGAGCACCCCGGCGTACGGGGGGCCTGCTGCTCCGGAAGAACGGCCAAGCAGGCCCCGCAGCCGCTCCCCATTGCGCCCCTCAGGCCGGGCTCACCGGCCTGGCCCATCACTCCCGGCAGCCCCGGCCCTGCCACCGTCTGGCCAGACGACTCGGGAGACCGCGGGACCGCGGCCCTGAAGCCTTTCTGCCTCGCAGGCCAGGGCGGGGGCTGAAGAGGGCGGGAGGCTCGGCCTCAGCGCCTTGGCTTCGGATGTAAATAGACAGGGCCTGGTCGTGGGCCCAGCGCGCCACGCTCCCCGCCCCCTCGTTCTGGGGGACCCGGGCTTCCTCACTTCCCCGGCCTTCCTCGTTTCCCCGGCCTAACTGCCAAGCCCGCCCACCCCCTAATCCTGTGGGGTTTCCGTCCTCCGCTGGCCTATCCTACTCCCAGGATGGAGATGGTCCGGTTTGTATTCACTCCCCACACCCGAACTCAGTCCCCCTATTCCCGCCGGTTCCCCCGGATCCTTCGTGGCGACCCGAGAGTCGCGCCTCGTCTCCCCTCATTTTGGCCCGGCCGCAGGATGTGAGCCGCCGAAAGCCGTGCTGCTTTTCGGCCCTTTTTTGTTGCGCTTCCAGAGAGAGAAAGAGACTGTGTGATTCCCACCTCTCGGGAGCGCTGACACCCCACCTGAGCGTTTTTGACAAGGTTACAGTGCCCAGAGAAAGCACTCCATAAGCTGATGTCTGATGAAATCAACAGTGGTGTTGATATCGCTGTAGCTTCCGGACGTTTGAGGCCTATTTTTAGCTCCTTCTGTTTCTAGGTGCACAACTCCAGGCAAGCTATGTACCTGCCTGGCCCTGATTCCCCCAAACCATGCTCCCTGCTGTCCTGAGGTTTCCATACTGAGCTTCACGAGTATACGAATGACTATAATGAGTGCTCACCTTGGCAGAGCATTTGGGATGGTACCAGGTCCTGTTCCAAGCCCTGGGTGTGTTATCTGGAGGAATACTCACTCCTCACAGAAGCTCCCTAAGGAAGGCACCGTTAGCCTCGTTCTTGATGAGGAAACTGAGTTAGAGGAGTTATTTGTCCAAGACAGGTCACAAAGCCAGTAAGGAGCTGGGATGTGAATCAAGGTGGTCTGGCTTCAGAGCCCCCCCCCCCATTTATGCCACATCTCTTTTATAAGAGGGTTGAGGCATTCCATTCATAAGATCCATTTAAAGGCAGAATGGGGACTGGATAAATGGGAGTCACTATGGCATACTTTATATATTTGCATATTCAGCCCATTCATTTTCTTGAACTCAAGACTCATACATCCAACATCATATTCACCATTTCCATTTGGCCATCTAATAGGCACATCAAACAAAATCCCTATCTTTCTACCCAAACCTGCCCATCCCACAGTCTTTCCCATTGCAGTAAGTGGCAGGTCTATTCTTTGAATTTTTCGGGCCAGGAACCTCAGTCGTCCTTGACTCCCCACTCTCATATGCCACAACAAATCTGGTCAGCTCTGCCTTAGAAATATTTCCAGAGGGTGACCACTTCTCACCGCCAGTGCTCGGGCCTCCCTTCCACCTTTACCCACCTAACGGTTTCTCAGCTGGAAGCCAGCGTGACACCCTGATGCCTCCCTGTCCTCCTGCCCCACCGCTCTCCCTGACTCACTTTGCTTTAAGCACTTTGGCTTTCTCAGTGTCCCTTGAGTAGTCTTATCTCTTCCTTCCTCTACCCCTTTGGACTTGTTGGTTCCTCTGCCTGAGTCAGTCTTCCTCCAAACACCCTCATGGCTTACTCCTTCACCTCCTTCAGGTTTTTACTCAGTTGTTATTTTATCACTGAGAACTTCCCTGGCCACCTGTTTTTAAATTGTATCCACATTCCCTAACCCCTTTATCCTGCTTTATTTTACTCCACAGCACTGATTGCCAGCTCGCATGCAGGTTTACTTGTTTGTTTGACTACCCTTCTCCTCAGTATAAACTCCACGGGAGTGAGGATCTCTGTTCTAATCACTGATGGATTCCCCCACATCTAGAATTCGTGCCTGGCATGGAGTAGGTAGCCAAGAAGTGTTTGTTGAGTGAAGGAGTGAATTCATCAGTGAGGCCCTTCATTGTGAGGTATACCTTTGAGCACAAAGGGAAAGTCATGGATTCCTGGGTCCCACGGATACCATTTCTAGCACATGCACTGACACCTGAGGGCTTGATTGTAAATCGCATAGTTGAACGGGTAAACGTAAAATAGAGAAGACAGAGTGTTTTGTACTTGAAGTGTAGTGAGTGCCACACTCATCTAGCACTTTGCCTTTGACACTAGGTCTGGCATAGCTGTCTACAAAAAATACAATCTTAGTGCTTTTTTGTGCCTTGTGTATCTCTGCCATTCTTTAATTGGTCGTTAGATGTTTCTCAACTCCATTTCTGGTTTTGGCTAGTGCAGCCCACTGGGACGTTTGATTTCTTCTTCTCTATGTAGGCTAGGACTTCATTGCCTGTGCGTTTTGAAGCTTTAGGGACTGCCCCAGACATGTGATTTCCCTCTTGTTTAACCTCAAACGCCCTCTTGGCTTCTGTCTTTGCAGGCTGAGATCCTAAACTTATCCCTCCTCACACCCAGGCCCTCTGAATCCTGGGCATCTGTAGAGTCAGAAAGCAGTGCAGGTGATTCTGATATGTGGCTGGGGTTGAGAACCCCTGGCTTGAGTAGTACAGCTTAGGAGTGCTTGTGTACAAAGAAACACTTCCAGTTGTGTATCCAGTACAGCATCTTGTTGGCCCTTGTTGGATGGTGATCTCTTCAGGGATGGTGACGGCAACTCCCAAAGTCCTTTGGTGGTAGTTCTGTGGTCTGTGACTTCTAAAGGCCATTTGGAATGCTTCTCTCTCAGGAGAGAGAGAGAGGGAGTGTGTGTGTGTGTGTTACACTTGTGTCTTGAGATATTCTCTTCTTGGGATTTCACTCTTGATATATCCCAAAGTGGCTTATCATCCTATCTTTGGAGTTATTCTGCCTTGTAGACCAGCATCAAGGTTTGAAGGCAGCATTTTGTCCCTTGTAAAGGTAAAGAAGACTGAGAAGAGTGTTAGCAAAGCATATCTGAGCTATGGGAAGTCATGGATTCTACACCCCAGCCTTAAAAGATACTGCATACATATAAATCATTCCTGGCCTGTGGAACCTGAGAGATAGTCTGAAGCAGTGTTCTCAGCTCTGGTCCTATTGACACTTTGGACCAGATGATTCTCTGTTGAGGGGGCTGTCCTGTGCCTTGTAGGGTGTTGAGCATTGAAGCAGCATCCCTGACTATATATAAGATGCCCGTAGTGCATGCCCTCCCCCACACCCCTACCCCAGGGGTCATGACAACCAAAAACTGTCTGCGGACATTGGGAAATGTCCCAGGGCAGAAGGTGGGGAGAGTCACCCTCAGTTGAGACCCCCTGGTGTAACGTGATGGTGGAGCACAGGCTTTGCCTTGTAGGGATCTGGGTTTGTGTGTTGACTCTGCCTTAAACTCTGAGTGACTTTGGGCATATCCTTTACCCCTTTGGGCCTTAGTTTCCTCACCAGTAAAATGAGAATAACAGTCATCATATTTATCTCATGGTTGCTTTGAGCCTTGGCTGAATGAATGCATATAAATTATTTAGCACCTATCTCAGCACGATAATAAACAGTAAATGGTAGCTATTTTTACTATGGTGGACTTATGTTGTGACACATTTAGCTCAAGTGCTCAGCGGAGCAAGAAATGAGTCTGAACAGTGTGAGTGAATCCACTTCCACTGAACGAGATGGCCCTGGGGTGTGCCCAGGGTGGGAGGCCAGTCTTGCCTTTCACTGTGTGATCATCTGGCCATGCGTTCTCAGCCTGGGCACTACAGGCATTTGGAACCAGGTAATTCTCTGTTGTGGGGCTGCACTGGGCATTGTAGGATGTTGATCTGCTTCCCTGGTCTTGACCCACTAGATGCCAGTAGCACCCTCCCCCAGCCCCTAGTCATGACTCATTGTCCCCTGGGGGGGGCCCACGGTTGCCCCCAGTTGAGACCCACTGACCTGGACTGGCCAAGTATCAGTCCAGAGATTTTTCAAGGGTAGTTTGGCTTTTCTCAGTTCTCACCTAACCCCTGAGAGGCTGAGATGCAGTGGATTTTTATTGATGAGCGAGAACTCAAGACAGCTGGAATCCTCAGTTCACTTGATTTTCACCTCCCTCTTCCCCTGCCCTAAGCTTAATTTTTAGGATAAGTGAGAAGCAACTTTAAAATTTTTTCATGAAGTTATGATAAGCATTAACTCTGGGGTTTGTCCTGGGATCCAAGTGTGTACATTTGAGTCTCTGGTGCCTCCTGTCTCTGTAGCAGGTGCGGTCTGGTTGCAGCTGGGGTGCCACGCAGAAACCTTTATGCACTTGGAAGAAAATTTAAGTTTTGCCTGGGATCCTGTGTAGAGACACAAAAGCTTGTAGTTCTGCAAGTTTAAAACTTTTCAACCACGTGCTTAGCCTGCCTGTCAGTTAACTGGAAAATGGAATCACCCCCGCAGTCCCATTACCCTCCTGTGTCCTCAGGGGTTCGGGCTGGTCAGGGTCTGCTGTGTGCTTGTACTCGGAGGGAGCTGAAGTGAGTGGAGGCAGCGGAAGTTGGTACGGCTAGAGCAGGTGTACTTAGGATGGCATTTGGGAGGGGCGAACAGTGTTGGGGGCTGGCAAAGGGGGCATTTTAGATACCAGTTGAA